TGAACAACAGCAATTTAACTGTTTCCCAGTTCTAGAGGCTAGAAGTCCAAGATCAAGGTGTCCTCAGGGCCATGTGCTCTCTGGAGGCCCTAAGGATCCATTTTAAGCCTCACTTCTAGCTTCTGGTAGTTCACTGGCTATGGTAGGATTAATTCCAATCTCTACATGGTGTCCTCCCTATGTGCATATCCCTAAGTCTAAATTTGCCCTTTTTATAAGGACATCAGTCATATTGGATCAGGGACCCAACCTATTCCAATATGACTTCACCTTAACTAACACATCTGCAATGACCTTATCTCCAAATAAGTTCACATTCTGAAATAATGGGGGTTAAGACTTCAACATATTAATTTTGAGGTGGACACAACTTAACATGTAATAGTCTACCCTCTGGACTTCCCTTACCCCAAATTTATGTCCTTCTTACATACAAGCTATATTTGTCCCATCTCAAAATCTCCAAAAGTGTTAATCATTCCAGCATCAATTCTAAGTCCAAAAATCTTACCTAAACATTGTTAATTAAGTCCTAAATCTCATAATCTACATCATTCTGATCACTTATGGGCAAAATTCTACTAATGAAAACAGACAAATTATCTGCTTCCAAAATATTAGGTTATCAAGTATTCAATGTCCAATTTGGAATAAAAAATCTAGTTTATTATCTCTCACACAAGAAGCAGTACAATTAAAGTATGTGCCTACACTGTTGATAAAAAATTCCATCACATTGGAATAAAGGGCACTTTATGATCTGATCCCAGTCACTGCACACATCCAGTTTCGAACCTCTTCTTTTGCAGCTCATATTCTGCTGAGTCAAACTCTTACTTTCAGACTTCTGCAAAGCTATTCCCTTTATCTACCAAACTCCTATCATACTTCAGGTATCAATCTGTAGATCATTTCTTCAGGAAACCAAGACTGTATCGGACGCTCTTCCAGTATGCTCCCACAGCACCCAGCACTTACACCTACCACAGTATTTATCACACTATATGAAAATTGCCCTTCCCCAGGCTCGGCACCCGTAGCACAGTGGTTATAGAACAGGCCATATACACTGAGCCTGGTTTGAACCCAGCCTGGGCCAGCTAAACAACAACAACTACAACAAAAAAACAGCCAAATGTTGTGGTGGGTGCCTGTAGTCCCAACTACTTGGGAGGCTGAGGCCAAAGAATTGCTTAAGCCCAAGAGTTTGAGGTTGCTGTGAGCTGTGACACCATGGCACTCTACCTAAGGCAACACAGTTGAGAGTTTGTCTCAAAAAAAGAAAAAAAAATTGCCCTTCCCCATTAAACTGTAAGCACATAAATGGTGTCTCTAATCCCCACTTCTTGCATACTGCCTAGCATAGAGTAGTATTTCACTAATTATGGAAGGAAGAAAGGAAAAGGAATGATCCCAACTTATCTGCTATTTCATGACTTGCATTCTATTCCTGCTTGACGTCACATATGCAAGCTGTTGGTCATACTGGTAACCAAAAAAGTGTAGGGTTTCATTAGTATAAATTCACTATTTTTATTTTTTTTAGAGACAGAGTCTCACTTTGTCACCCTCAGTAGAATGCTATGGCATCACAGCTCACAGCAACCTCCAGCTCTTGGGCTTAGGTGATTCTATTGCCTTAGCCTCCCCAGTAGCTGGGACTACAGGTGCCCATCACAAAGCCTGGCTATTTTTTTGCTGCAGTTTGGCCAGGGCTGGGTTTGAACATGTCACCCTTGGTATATGGGGCCAGTGCCCTACTCACTGAGCCATAGGTGCTGCTCAAATTCACTGTTTTTAACTGGAAAAATCACTTACTGTAGTAATTAGGAATGAAGGACATTATTACTGTTATAAATCCACATTGGGACGATATTACCATCTTGGGATACTAAGTAAAACAACTATAACTATACTAATACATATTAATAAAAATGCTATCAAGAGATGAAAGATTAATTGCAAGCCAAAATTCTGGTATATCTCTGTTTCAACTAGGCACACATGTCCCCAAAACAGTGGTAGTGGAGGAGGATTAAAAGACTCACTTCTTAAGAAAATGTACCAAAATCGCTGAGGTGAAAAGTCTTCAAGTTGTCAAGCTATAGGTCCCCTCATCCCTCCTGTATTCAGCCACTGATGCTGAAAGGAATGTCCACTGTGGTAGTAAAAGGATGAGAGGCACTCTCTTGGGTTAACAGCAGACCGAGCAAATGCTGTTTCTTACAAAACAATTGATAGTGAAACGATTTCTGTATTACTTTAGCTAGGCTGAAAATTACAAAGTTGTGGGCAGAAGGACTGAGAGTTGGGGTGAGAATTCAAAATACTACACTAGTGTGACGTTTTTACAGTTAAGTCAGGAATCTAAAACATGAATAAGCTAGAAGTGGGCCAGAAAAAAACAATGAAATGGACAAGTTAGGGGGTACTTGTAGCTCAGTGTTTAGAGTACCACCACATGCTCCAAAGCTGGTGGGTTAAAACCAGGCCCTGGCCTGCTAAACCACCAAAATCAAAACCAAAACAAATAAAAAAAAATAGCCGGGCACAGTGGTGGGCACTTGTAGTGCAGCTACTAGGGAGGCTGAGGCAAGAGAATCGCTTGAGCCCAAGAGTTTGAGGTTGCTGTGAGCTATGACGCTACAGCACTCTATCAAGGGTGACAAAGTGAGATTTTGTCTCAATTAAAAAGAAAAAAAAGAAATGGGCAAGTTACATCAGAGTCTAGAAAGTGATGCTGGGGGGAGGTGGGAATTAAAGTCACATTCTAGGGACAGGGAATTAATTACTTTGGTTGGAAGGGGTTTGAGTAGTGACAAGTCAGAATGTGACTGCAGAGGACTCTGAGTGACAAAATACAAAAAGGTAGATTTTATTCTGGGCAGAATGAGTTTTAGATTCCGAAGAAGGGTACACTGTGTGGTTAAAATGATATTTCGTGGAAGATTAACCGAAGGGTCTCAAACAGGATTAATTAAGAGTAAAGAAATTGAAGGTGAATAATAAATTGAATTGCCTGACACAAAATGAACTAATAAAAATGCTATAAAACACCAGAAGCTAGCTCTTTCCATTACATATACTGTTATCATATATATTCTGCATTATGTATATTAACACAAATAAAAAATATCATTTGCCAATACTTAATTCTAATTCACAAAGCCTGTCTTCTCTCTTTTGTTGTATCTGAATGTTCTTTGGCTGTCTGGTTAGAAAGGCATGATGCAAATCTAAGAAAGAAAAAGAATACTATTTTTAATTGTCAAGAAATTTGCATATACAAACTTATTAAAATGTCTATAAATTATTTTTAAAGTACTACTTTTTCAAAGTTTCAAATGTTTTACGTGGCATTATTAGTTCTCTTGAACTTGACCTTAAATATATTGAGGTTTCTTTGCTTAGTACTTATGGTCCACTAACATGTTAAAGTTTATAATCCGGGATGTTTCTTCAAGTTGATAAAATCTGGAAATTAACCGGTTCATTTTTATGGCTGACATTTTCATGACATTTAACTTCACCCTACACAAAGCGGTCATAAAACTTTTAGTTAGGTGGGAGAAACACTGAATTAAGACACGCCCACACTCCACACCACCAAATCGGTTTGTTGTGCTAGTGTTCGCCTATCGTGGGGTTCTCCGACTGGAGACAGATCTGTCACCGGCCTCCAGTGCCCTCGGGGCTCGTGGTGCGGGTCCAGTCAAGAGAACAGCACGTTTCGCCCGCCAGGCTTCCCCCGCAGCGGCGCCCCAATCCCGGGTCCGAGAGGCAGCCAGCTCCGGATCCCTCCCGGCCAACGCACGTCCGAGGGAGGAGCTTGGGTGAGTCTCACAGAAGAGCGCCCTTCCCATACCTTAGCTGAGACGGTCAGGCTGCCCTCTCGCGCAGCGACATTTACACGGCTGTGGTGCCAGGCAGCTGCTGCTCCTGCGAGGGCCGCGCCAGCCACTGCCGCCGCTAAGGGGCCAGGGCTCGGCGCGGCCGCTCGGCCGGCAGCAAACCCGCGCCGCAGTCGTCCGCCCCAAGCCGCCCAACGAGCGCCGCTCCTCGCAGCCGCCGCCATCTTTGCGGAAGCGTCGCGCCCCCGAGACCTGAGTCTCTCGCGCGGCGGTGGCTCTCGCGAGACCTGGCCAGTCCTGGCCTGGTCTCTTGGGCCTGGGCCTTGTCTTGGGCTTCCGAGTTGACGCTGGGTATAAAAGCTCCCCTCCTGCTCAGTGGGAGTGGGACAACTAGGGAAATGTCCAAACAACTCAAACAGGCCTTCCCAGTCCAAGACAAGATAGTGCCATTTACTGCGTAGGACGGTCCCCCTCTTTCCTTAACGCCACGGAGAGAGAGAGAGACACGGGGGTCTGAGACAGGCGCTCTGACGATAAAGGGCCTTAATTGTGATCATCTAGATTGAGTCCTTTCCTTTTCCGTGGCCGTGTTTTTCAGGGTAGAATCGCATCCCTGGAATGGTTGGCAGGTAGAACTGAAAAGTTCTGCATTTTCCCATAACACTAGTTTGGCTCTGAGCTAGTCTGTTTTAACAATTTCTTAGCGAAATAATATTTATATCATGCCATTCAGAGGTTTACCTAAGCTGCAGATACCTTCTCCCAGCTATTTTAAATAACTCACCCAACCTGTCGTAAACTCTTGTTTAACAAAAATGTGTGTGTATTCTCCTATTTTAACAAGTAAGCAAACTTATTAAGGTTTTGTTTGTATGTTTATTTTTGTTTAAAAACAGATGGAGTCTGTCCCTGTTGCCCAGGCTGGATTCAAGTTGGGAGAAATGTGATCGTCCAACCTCAAATGATCCTCCCACCTCAACCTCACAAATGTCTGAGATTACAGGCATGCGCCGCCTTGCCGGCTTTAAATTGTATTTTTTACTGTGGTAAAAATATATAGGTAACGCTATCATCGCAACCATTTTAAAGTGTACAGTTGCATGGTATTAAATAGAATTCACATTGTTGTGCAACCATCATCACCATACAACTCCAGAACTTCTTCATCTTGTAAAATAGGCAAACATTTTTTAAAAACAGTCTCTTCCCCATCTCTCCTGTTCATTCCTTCTTACGCTCATAGTCTTGACTGTTCTTTGATTTGTGCTAAATCATATCCTAACCCTAATGTAACTTTGATTTTTCTTACAAATTCCCAGACAAAGGCATTCTCTTTATCTTAGGCAATTACTGCTTGCTGAATGTTGGTTGTGTTTAAAATTCTGTTTCAACAAAGTATTTTATGGTTAACTTTTGTACCACCTGGAACTAACACCTCCCTCCCCCAAACAGTAGCATCCACCCAACCCCTTCCTATCAACAGTGACCTAGATATTTTGCCTTGTGCAGGCTTGGAATAGTACCTCAGTCCCGGTTTTTCCATTGGTAATAAGAAATAGTTTAGCTGAGGCAGAAGACTTGGCTTTATTTCATACCCTGCAATCTTTCATTTGTTGGCCTTTTCCTGAGTAAACTTATTTAATAAATTTGTTGTTCAGCTACTGAACTGTCCCTGTTAGGAACTATACTTGGACATGCACTAACAGAGCCAAAGTCAAAGGTGCCAAGACTCCTGATCACATAATTGCTGTTATCTTGAAGTTTTGCAAAATAAATTAAAAAAACAAACAAACAAACCCCTTGCCACACTAAATCTAATTTGATCACTCAATGGAAGTTCCTTGGATCATTTTTGTCATTATCCACCCTTAATCTTTGCTCCATTTCTCTAAGTCAGGTTGTCTAATCTACAGTTAAGAGTTTCCTCATTTCCCCCCAGCTGTTGAAATCCACCCCCCTTTTTTTTTGTAGAGACACAATTTCACTTTATTGCCCTGGGTAGAGTGCTATGGCGCACACAGCTCACGGTACCTCCAACTCCTGGGCTTAGGCAATTCTCTTGCCTCAGCCCCGGGAGTAGCTGGGACTACAGGCACCCACCGTAACACCTGGCTATTTTTTTGTTGCAGTTTGGCCGGGGCTGGGTTTGAACCCACCACACTCGGTATATGGGGCCGGTGCCCTACCCACTGAGCCACAGACACCACCCAGCTGAAATCATTTTCAATGTTCTTTTCCAGACAGGAAACAAACAGATGAAACTCAATGTGCAAGGTGATTCAAACTCAAGGTTTGAATCCTGGCTCTCCTAAGCTTGATTGCTATGATTTGGGACAAATTATTTAATCTCTCTCAGTCTCAGTTTTCTCATCTGCAAATGAGATGGGGAATTAAGTTTGAGGTGGGGAATTAAAAGAGATTTTATATGAAGTGACTGCCAAATGCCTAACACATAGTAGGCTCATGATCCATGAGAGTTTACCTTCTTCAACATCAGGTTGACTCCTACCCTGTGGTCACCAATAAGCTTGTCCATGGTTCCAGATCACTAGCCCCTCTTTACCCCAAGACTTTCCTGCTTTTTCATGTCCGGCCTGACCTTGGAGACCTCTGGTTTGTTTTTCTCCTCTGCTAATGCAGCTAGCTTTTTGCATATGTCCTGCTTTTCTAGATTATTGACATCTAGCATGTTTCTGTCACCTGGTGATTATTGGATTTCAAGGATATGTTTGGACACCCTGTATTTCTTAACCTTGTAGCTGTTCTTGATTTCCAGAAATCACAGTGTTTACTTGTCTGTTTCCAACTGCCTAATTCACACAATTTCTCTACCTATTTAGTGAAACTCAGCATTTATTACTCGGTAATGGTCCCAAGCCCAAGATAGGTGTATTTTCCTGTTAAAATATTTGGCATGTTTGAAAACATACCATTTTCCCCATAGTTTGACATCTTCATGAATGAGGTGTCTTGTTTTTTTGTTTCCACGATACCTAGCACAATGGTCTAGCACTTACTGACATTCAGTGAATGGTATATGAATAAATGAATAAATAAATGTCACAGATGAGACTGTGGAATGCCTATTTCTATGCATTAAGCATCAAATATACTGAAATAGATTATTCCTTTGGTATAATTATTTATAAAGACAAAAGTCACTTCAAATTATTCTTTTTTGGTGAAAATCTTTGAACCCACTTGGAAAAGAGTGATTTGTAATTAGTTTTATAAAAGAATTATATGTCCAGGTCTCTAGAACTCTCACTTAAGATTTAATGTATTCAAAATTTTTTTCCAGAAGAAACAAATTCTTATAATAGAACCAATCTCTAGCCGACTAACCATTCTAAGTATGAAATAGTCCCTGGCAGCTGTTGACATTTGTCTCAGCACATTGACTATATTGGTCTTTTTGGGCTCCAGCTTTGTTCATTTCTTCATCACCAGCTGTAGAGTAAGTCCTGGGTTATGATGTATTTTCAACCATGCAGTTTATAAACCAGTTCTCAGATAAGGAACTGCTTCTAAAGCTATAAGATCTGTGTTATTTTAAATGATAACCGAAGAAAAATAGAATGGGAATAGATAGTTTCAAAATATTCTTTTTTATGTGATTAATCCAAAATAAGACAAACTTTTAAAATATATAGACATACTGAAATATTTGCATTAAAGTGACAGTAGTTGCCCACTCCCTATCCCAACAGTATTTGTAGTTTTTCTTTGGGAATTTCCAGCCTTTGAGCTACACAGGAAAATGGGTCTCTTTTTTGGTCAGATTTCAAATTTGGATCCCTGAAGAAGATCAATTGCCTTCTTTTCAGTTGATTTGGCCATAAAAGATTTAACTTTTTTTTTTTTTAACTTTCTTAGAGTTTGTTTGTTGGTTTATTTATTTATTTATTTATTGAGGCAGAGTCTCACTTGTCACCCTCGATAGAGTGCTCTGGCATCACAGCTCATGGCAACCTCAAACTCTTGGGTTCAAGCAATTCTTTTGTCTCAGGCTCCTGAGTACTGGGACTATTGGTGCCCACCACAACACCCAGCTATTTTTAGAGATAGGGCTTTCTCTCTTGCTCAGGCTGGTCTTGAACCTGTGAGCTCAGGCAATCCATCTGCCTTGGCCTGCCAGAGTGCTAGGATTAAAGGTGTGAACCACTGCTCCCAGCCAGGACTTAACTGTTTTGAAGAGCAATCCATTCTTAAAGTGCATAAATTTGTCACTATTATCATTTATTGTAAGGACAGATTTGCTCCTTCTTTTAAATTATATTTATTTACTTACAATAATAAAAATAACATTGATTATAAAAATTATCCAATGATACATTTAGATTACATACTTCTAAAGTATACTAAAAAGAGCATTCAGAAAAATATTTCAAGCAAACCAGCATTTAAAAATGAATTTAGTCTTCCAAAATAATTCCTTTAATGGAGACAGCAGATATGTGGTTATTATATGTATTTGTTAAATGGTAACATTGTTTTTTAAAAAAATTTAGATTAAAATGAGAATATATATGATTAGGTTACATAGTTTTCTTTTGCAAGGTAAAAGTCTGAATTGTGTCCTTTACCCAGAAAGTGTACTATATACCCATGCAATGTACCTATTGGGTGGGAATTTACCCAATTCTTTCCCTCCCATCCCTCTACTTGAATTTAATTGAGTTTTTCTCTCATGTGAGCATGTAGTTATAAACCTACTAACTAGATTTCAGTTTCAGTTTAGTATAAAGTACATGTGATGCTTGTTTTTCCATTGTTGTGATGCTTCACTTAGGAGAATATTCTACAAATCTATCCATCATTAGAAAAGGTATAAATCTCCCATTTTTTTAAATGGATGAATAGCAATACTCTCTCAGTAGCATCAAAGAAAATGAAATACCTTGGAATATATTTAGCAGAGGATGTGAAGGATCTCTACAGAGAGAACTATGAAACACTGAGAAAAGAAATAACAGAGGATGTTAACAGATGGGAGCACAAGTCAAGCTCCTGGGTTGGAAGAGTCAACATTGTTAATATGTCTATACTACCCAAAGCAATCTACAGATTTAATGCAATCTTCATAAAAATTCCAGAGTCATACTTTGAAGATCTTGAAAAAATAGTTCTACATTTTGTATGGAATCAGAAAAAAATCCTGAATAGCTTATGCAATTCTATAAAACAAGAACAAAGCTGGAGGCATCACTTTACCAGGCTGCGGGTTATA